ATCCACAAATCCCTCTGTGAGTATCATGTTGGTATTTTTCTTCCTTTAAGAACTGTCCCAGCATCTAACTTGGCGTTGGTTGAAGTTAGAGGTATCAACTACCCCCTATCTAATGTTCTTTCATATGAACGTTTATCTCCCAAACATCGTGACTTCACCATTTCTCTTTCATTCAATAAGGAACCATCATCATTTGCTCAAGCAGTTTGTGATTTGAAATGGCGTCCTACCATGCAACTAGAACTTGATGCTATTGAAAGTAATGGCACATGGTCTCTTTAGAGATTACCTCCAGGAAAAAAGCCAATTGGATGCAAATGGGTATACAAGATCAAACTTTCAAACCCGATGGTATGATTGAGCGCTATAAAGCCAAACTGGTAGCAAAAGGATACAACCAAGTTGAAGGTCTAGACTATCGAGAGACATTTGTTTCAGTTGCAAAATTTGTGACAGTTCATCTTCTCCTTGTCGTGGCTTCAACTCAACATTGACATCTTCATCAGCTCGACGTTAATAATGCCTTTTTACATGGGGATCTTGATGAAGACGTTTACATGTCTTTACTTCCTGGCTTTGGATGAAAGGGGGAGACACAAGTTTGTAAACTTCACAAATCACTATAAGGGCTCAAACAATCTTCACATCAATGGTTCATTAAACTTTCCACTTCTCTGAAGGAAGCTAATTACAAGTAGTCAAAGGCTGATTATTCATTGTTCGTTCGATCCTAGAATGGTTAATTTTTAGCTCTTATCATTTAAGTCGATGACATAATTCTAGCAAGAAACATCCTCCAAGAAATTGAAGAGACCAAGATATTCTTGAAGAATCAATTAAAACTCAAGGATCTTGGACATTTGAAATACTTTCTAAGAATTGAGGTTGCACGGTCTAACAAAGGCATTATCCTTTCACAATGAAAATATGCAGTCGAGATTCTAGAAGATGCTGGATAACTTGGTGTGAAACCAACCTCTTTTCCCATGGTACAACTCTTAGTAATTCTGAAGGTGACTATATCAATGATCCATCTTCTTACAAAAGACTTATTGGGCGGTTAATTTATTTGACAGTCACACGACCCGACTTAACATATGCAGTTCATGTTTTAAGTCAATTTATGGACAAGCCATGAGTGCCACACTTAGAAACAGCTCGTCGTGTCCTACAATATGTGAAATAGACGCCAGGACTAGGAATATTTCTTCCTACAAAAAGTTCAATCCAACTAAATGCCTTTTGTGATGTAGATTGGGCTAAGTGTCCTGACACTCAACAATCAGTTACGAGGTATTGTGTCTTTCTAGACAATTCACTCATTTCCTGGAAAACTAAGAAACAGATGACAGTATCACGGTCCAGTGCAGAAGCCGAATACCGATCAATGGCAGCAACTTGTTGTGAAATTACTTGGCTAAAAACAATTCTACAAGATTTGGGCATCGAACACTCACATCCTATTAATCTATATTGTGATAACCAAGCAGCACTCCATATTGCTTCAAACCCGATATACCATGAACGGACAAAGCATATAGAAATTGACTGTCACCTTATACGAGAAAAAGTTGAAGAAGGAATGATCAAGATGACTCATGTAAGCACATTAGACCAACTAGCAGACATTTTTACAAAGCCATTGAGCTCTTCACAATTCTTGACTCTACTCAGCAAGTTAGGAATTATTAACAGACATTCCAAACTTGAGGGGATGTTAAGGAATATTGAGTAGCATAAAATCAGGGACATTCCACTAATTTGGACAATCGTCCACTGATTTTCTTCCCCATTCATTGTCATTTATTTAGGCACGTAAATATGCATTATGCACGCGTTGTAAATGTTTTAGACAGACTGCTGCCTTGCATATAAACTCCTAATGCCATCAGAAAACATATACAGAAATTCATAAATCTTTTCAAATGTCATTAGAGACTCCTGACAAATAACTTTCCTTTTTCATTTATTATGAAAATAGGAAGGAAATTAAAACATTGAGCAGAGTTATTTGTGAATGAGGTATTCATTCTTGTTATGATTTGTGTTCATTGAGATTCATAATATAATGTTCGGAAAATGAGTATAACATTTCTACATTTTTCTCCGAGAAACTCTAGAAAAGTTGAAGAACAATTATTGAGAGTTCAAATTTATGTCTCATTTTTCTATCTCCTTGGTAACGATCAGTTTCAGAGAGATTTCTTAGACTGTTAAAAGGATTTGGTTGCCTAGGCTAGATTCATTTTCCGGTGAGGTTCCGACGAACTTTACGAGGGGGATAGATGATAGATAGAAAAAGGTAGTTGCTGAAGGGAAGATGAGTGTGGGGCTTGTTGAGTGTTGAAAGAATGAAAATAGGCTAGAGGAGCCCTTTATTTACAGACGTGAAGGTGACAAAGATAACGTGGCAAATCTATCTTTTCCGCTTAGACCAACATCCTTCTTTTGTAGGCCAAGTGATATTAGACACAACCCATCATTGATCAGCCAGGGACCCATAATGATAAAATATTTAACTATGGTAGAATGGCATCTTGTCAGCTGGTTGTGATTTGGTTTGAGGGTAATCGACTGAGTATATACATTTCCCATCTAGAGAGTAAGACAATCAATCACATCTTTAGGTACTACTCTGAATTGGCGATGTCTCTCTTCGTCTCCCTTTTCACAGATATTATTATCATAAATGCCTTTGCCAATTAATTAGTTAGCCGAGTAAGCCAGAATTTATAAATTTTGGCAATTGATTATGTGAAGTTTTTTAATTAGTGATTTTTTTTAACTAACAAAGAGTTTGTTTTTATTTGAAAGGTTTAAGTAATCTCAGAACTGAAGTAATATTAATCCTATTTTCTTGAGCGATGCTATTATTCGGAGAATTTCTATTGTAGCTCACTGCTTGAGTTGCTGAGTCACCGCTCACTTGGTTCAAGCCTAGTTCTCGAGCGATGCTGTTATTCAGAGAAATTCTGTTTGCGATTTAAACAGCTTTTTATGTCCTAAACAACTCCAAACACTCTCTATTGTACATAACCAAGTCATATTCCATCCAGGTGAGTGGTTGGTCATTATATTCTTCCTAGAAAACATCTTTTGAAGAGCCTACATCAATTCTATACCTTGAGATCATTCAACCACACTTTAGAAAACATCAAATCCAAAATTCTCAAAACACCAAATGACCCACTTCCGTATAATAAGTCAGAGTTTTAAAGATCGAGGAAGGTGACCAGAGTTCAGGTAGCACAAGAACGGGGAGTTTTTGATGATCCGCATGAGATAGACGATTTCAGGAGGTTGGGAGATGGTACAAGAACACGCAGTCCATGAGGGCCTTGGAGATTACAGAAAGTAGGTCAGAGAATACTAGGAGTAAGTCGAGTCTAGACCATACTGTAAGTCAATTCGTTTATAATGGATATTATTGGCTTGCGCTCGAAGTTTTTTGACCTGACAAGATTTCTCCGTGATCATTTTGTTGGTGTTATTTATTTTATAAAAAATACTAATTGTGACAATTCAACATAGGTTAGACTTGCTTGTGAGTTCATCTAGATTAATTATTATTTGTGAGCATTAATCACCTATTCATCCCCTCTAAGTGTTAATTGGGTCAAAATTCGATATTTCAATATCTACTATATGTATGCAATTTTCTTGATAGTAATTTTGATGTATTTATTACTTGTGCAACTTTTTGGTCATTACGGTAGTGTCTTATCTGATAACACTGCAGAATGGAATTTGCACCTTGCCAACCTGTTGATAGGATAAAGCAAACTTCCTGAAAATATAATAGATGGCATTCTAATGTGTTTGACAACACGTGATGCTGCAAAGACAAGTACATGATCAAAACAATGGAGGTATAAATGGATTAAACTACATCAACTGATATTTGATGTTACATTGTGGCAAGAATTAGAGAGTTCGCAAGAATTCATGGTAAAAGAGGAGGGAACTATGAAGTTCTTTGCTGTTCCTTTACCAGGTTCTTTTAGGTCACCGAGGACCCATAACACAGTTTAGTCTTGTTATTCCGGCGCTTGAAATATGTTCACATATTGACCAGGTGATCAATTTCTTATCATATTATGGCGTCGAAGAATTCATCTTTGGAATCGGTCAGGGATACAGAATTCCATCTTCACTATTGATGTATTTACAGTTTTTACATTTGAAACTTTCTGCTTGTTTCATCAATCCTTCTCCAACATTTAACGAATAGACTGGTTAGTCTGGAATTGTGTGACGTCATCTTTGATGCAGTATTACTACAAAGTTTGATATCTAGCTGCCCGTTACTGGAGCAACTGTTGCTGAATTTCCCAATTGAATTTGATTACTTGGAAATTGATGCTCCTATGCTAAAACTTTTTCATCTTCAATATTTTCGTTGTTCATCTATTTGTATAAAGAGATCCCAACATCTTGCAACAGTTACAGTTACTGCTTACGAGCATTATGAGGATGACGAATTCAAGTATGGAAACTGTTACTTCATTGGGTTTTTTGATTCTCTTCCTTCCCTTCATAAACTGTGCATGGACTGCCATTTTATGCTGGTATGGTTAATTATAAATGCAATCACGTGAATTCAAGTTAACTATGTCCGATCATAATTTTTCCACCTGCTTTCTAGACTTTATCAGCAGGTCAAGTCCAAACGGTGCTTCCAACTGCTTTAATCCACCTCAAAATTCTGAAGTTACTCCATATATATCTAGATTCAGAGGATGAATTCTCGCCTATAAATTTAAGTAACTGCAATTGCAGTTCCCTACAAAGATTTCAAGTCCCTGATTAGAACACTTCAGAAAAGTCTTTCTATTTCAATTATGCCTACAAACTTCATATTGTTATCTAATTCAAGAATTAGAGAATTAGACTTTTGACATAAATTAATGTCCGACATTTTATTGATGATAAATGAGAAATCAAACATTTTATAGTACATATTAATTTTTACCAAATTCCGTTGAAACTTCAAACAAAAACTTCAGTTTGCGTGCAAGACCCAGGAAAGAGAAGTCTGAAACCAAAGACTGAATTATTGCCATTTTCTCTATGCTTGGAACAAGGTCTTTATTAGGACCCTCGAAGTTGCCACATCTTTCAAGTTCCAGCAGCATCTAATTATTATTTTTACTGTTTTTTTCTGAAGACTTGGCTTGTTTTCTCATTTGCAATTATTCATGGAGTGGGTGAAAAGAAAGATAAGGTTCTTGCAAGGGACGAATGAGAAATTACCGAATGACACATTATCGCCTTGTTATATTGAAAATGGAGGCAAGCTGTTAGAAGGGCTTATTGCTAACTCTAATGTTAAGTATGATATTCCTAATCGCGTCTTTACCATTGAAGAACTTAATAAAGCAACAAACATCGATTTCCCTAGTCTACGATATGAGGATTCCAGATCTGTTATGCGGGATGGATTGGGCTATTACATCAGCGGCGTTTTTCAGCAACGGTCTATTCTGGTGAAGAAGTTCAATCCTTTTGAAGAGGCGTCCCATGCTGTGAACAACATTGTATTCAAGGTGCTGATGAACCGCCACAAAAATGTTTTGAAGGTCTTGGGTTGCTGCTTAGATTTGGAACTACCTGCTATTATCTATGAAATCGGGATGAACTATGGACTTCTATATGACCTTGTCGTTAAAAGGAAAGATGGGAATAATATTGGCAAATCACTCTCTTGGAGTAATCGACTAAAAATTGCAATAGAGGTTGCAAATGCTCTTGTTTATCTTCATACTGCATTTCCCACACCTATCATCCATAGAGATCTAGCCACAAAAAGCATTGTCATAGACAATGGTGTTGTTAAGCTTGTCAATTTCTCACTCTGCGTAGCATTGCCTCCCGGAGAATCACAGGTGGAAGTAGAATTAGCTGGGACGCGAGGATATACTGAACCTGAATACTTCACATCAGGCATTATCACAGAAAAGAGTGATGTCTACATGTTTGGAAGTATTCTCCTTAAACTCTTAACTATTCGTTGCCATTTCTATGTAAAGTGTGAAAATACTACTTTAGATGGTTATGTAAAAAACCACGTTGACAAGAATGAGTTGAGTGAAATTTTGGACCCAGTAATTTTAGGGGAGATAGGCGAAACAGAGCATCAATTGCAGGCTTTCTCGACACTTGCTTTGAGATGTACTCTTGACGGAGGGGCAGATAGGCCATACATAATCGATGTGGCAAAAGAATTGGTAAGGAGTCTATTCATCCCACTCGAAGGAGCAGCAGATAAGCCATATCGTCAAGATGTTATGTTGTTGGGTAAAACACTTTCTAGATTGTTATTTTGTTGGGTCTTGATGCTTACTAGTAATGTATGAACGTTTACTCGAGATAAGCTGTAGACTTTTGAAAGATCTGAGCATGAAACTTATGATCCTTTTTGCTGATGTCTTCATTTAAGGAAGTGTTGTCTATATCAATGGTTTAAGATGAGATTTTGTTTTAATGATGCATATATTTTGGAATTATACGAGAGGGTGTGACTAGAAAATACAACTAGGGACAATTTTATTTAGAAAAAAAATTTACAGTATACATGGAAGCAACGGTCCAAATAATGAACAAAATTCAAGTTTTAAGAACAAAATATGAGAGGTTGAGACATGAAAAACTAGAAACTTTCTAGCACTATTGCACGAAGGTTGGGGGAGGTGAAAATTTTCCTTGAAATATATATTTGATGAATCGTTTAAACCTTATATAAGAACATATTCTGATAGTAGTAGGAGGTGAAATATCTATTCCAATACTCTGTGATAGAAATTATAGTAACCAACTATCTGTAACTAAATGCCCTATGTAGTTGAATGCATTTAAACCTCCAAGAAAAAAATGTCATCCTTAATTTATTAAATTGATGGCTTGTATCTTGGAATGCTTGACAGTGTCGTTTATGCAGAAGAAATGTGTCAATTCTTTTGTAGCACAAAAAAATAATAATAATAAATAAATAAATTCACTCAATTAAAACTCTTCCGAAAATCTGTCTCTGTCTAAACAATTAATATCATTATGAAATTAAAGAATTCTGAAATCCCCTTTGGCAGCCACTTTGTAGCTTTCCTGGAATCATTGTTCAAGATTGTTGGCATAAATTTATGTCCATAAGACCAGGTAGGCACTAAACTAGGTAAGGAGACAAGAATAATACAGGAGCAAACCATAGAACCAGTTATGGATCAGGGTGTTAATATTGTTTTGACTTTTAGTTCCAAATTGGTGGAAGCTACTAAATCAAGTGGGGATGACATAGGCAATAAGGAATAGTCTAGTAAAACCATATGGGAAAATAGAACTTCTGCACACTTATGTTTATCATCGAATGCGATTTAAACAAGTCAGAATATAAAAAGAATCAAGAGTAAAAGAAAAAGAGAAGGATGGAAGTATATATGCTTAAAATGAAAGATGAGATCAATTTAACATAAAAATGAGAGTACATATGCTTTTGATGTTCTAAATATTACGAGATGCATTATAAATATTGATGAGCTCCTCATATAGCCCTCGGTGTTAAGCTATATGGAACAGCACATAGAAAACATTATCTTTAAGTTTTAGGAGTACCCAAAAATGCAATCTAACTTGCTCAAAAGTGTACAATACTCTACAAATTCAAGACACAAACTCAGGTACTGGTCATTTCTGACTCACCAGAATCGATCTCATTAGTGTCAATAGGAGCCAAGTCCAGATCCTCCACAAGCTTCCCCAGGATTTCAACAAATTAGGGGGAAACTTCTTATTCATAGTTCGAATCATTGCTCTCACCTCCTTCGTATGTCCATTCTTGGTTAGCCCTTCTGCTAAATACTTCAAACTATTAAAATCCGGAATCTTGTGTAACTTCACACACTCTTTAAACACCTTATATCCTGTCACATATCGATCTTACTCGCACAAATAAAATACCAAGGCCCTGAAAATAGTTGTATTTGGATTACAGCCTTTCGACCCCAACTCATCACACACCTTCTTTGCTTCATCCATTATACCATTTTTACAATAGCTTGTCATAAAGTAGCTATAGCATCAGGCTTTATCCCAGCATTACTCATTTCGTCAATTAACCTCTTATTCTCTTAACCCCCTCCACCTCCCCGCTATGAATATGCGTAAGCCTCACATTATACGCCCCAAAATCAGGAACACAACCCTTTTTTGTTACTCTCTCGTCCCAATAACTCTCCGACTCCTCACTCCTTCCCTTCTTGTACAACCCTTGTAAAATTGTGGCAAAAGTAATCAGAGTAACCCCAATCCCCTTCTCCTCCATCGCACTCAACATCTCTATTGCCATTTCAGGCGACCCCACCTCGCAGTATGCTTTAATCAATATACCGAACGTGAACTTACCAGGAGAAAGTCAGTATTTCGCCGGAATCTCATTAAAATAAGTGAGCACATGATCAAACAGTTTGGAGTGTACACAAGCAGTAAGCAAAGCATTGAAGGAGAGTGATGATCGAGGGGTGGCCAAACAGTCATTTCATCGAACGTTTTGAGAGCAATCTTGAACATACCGGTGACGCCATAGGATCGAACGAGGGAGGCAAGGAAGGCTTCTTCAGTAATTTGGGGAAGCGTTTTGCGGGACTCAAGAAATGATTCAACGTCGGAGAAGCAGTGGGATTTGGCCAAACGACGGACGGGGAACTCCTAGCACTATTTAGGGATGACAAGGTGGCGGGTTTGAGACCGGGACGGGAACTGCGAGCACTATTTAGGAATGGGCGAATGGCAATGTGGCGGGTTCGGAGAGAGACGGGTTCCCTTGTCGCATTACCCATTTAGGGCGGGTAAGGGTGATCGTGTTTACGTGCCTATATAATTTATTTATTTTTTTCTTTTGGATTTTTGATAATTTTTTTTAATGTCCTTATTCATTCAAATGAGACAATAATATAATTATTAAAATTTTTAATTAATTTATTTATTTTTAAAATTTAAATTATTCGAATATATTTGATAAACTAAGATTTTTATTGTTTATCATATTCTTTAAATAATCTTAGTTATCATCTTCTATTAGAATTAATAAAACTTCGTCGAGTTTTTTTATTAGGGCATGTTTGAGCCCCATTATTTCCTAATAATGCATTTTAGAATGGTAAATTGATGGAAAATGTATGTTTAAAAAATAAAGAAAAGTTTTGAATTTACGTATAATATTATTTTATTAAAAAATGTGTAGTTAAAAGTTAAAAGAAGAGAGAAAAATGTATTTTAAAAATAATAAGAATCAAACAAGGGCTTAAAATATTGAATTCTTAAATTAAAAAAAAAAATTAAACTAGGCAGGGTGGAGACCCCGTTACCCGTACCCGCCTCGAGGCGGAATTCCCCGACCCAATTACCCGACTAAGCATGTAATTCCCACCCCATTGGGAGATCCTCACGGGTATCGAATTTGACGGTTATTTTTGTCATCCCTAACACTATTGCACGAAGGTTGGGGAAGGTGAAAGTTTTCCTTGAAATATATATTAAATTTATCATTTAAACTTTATAAAAACATAATCTCATAGTAGAGACGAGGGTGAAAAATCTATTCCCTATCAAGACACAAGTTCAAGTCATCCAAGCATGACTTTTTGTGGTAGAAATTATAGGAGCTGACTACCTGATCTAAAATGCCCTATGTAGTCGAATGCATTTAAACCTCCAAAGGAAAAATGTCATCCTTAATTTTTTATTAAATTGATTGCTTGTACCTTGGAATGCTTGACTATGTCGTTTATGTAAAGAAATGTTAAAAAATTAAAAATAATTAAAAATAAAAAATTTAAAGTGCCCTGTACAAATTTCAAGTTGCTCAATTAAAACAATTCCAAAAATCTGTCTAAAAAATTTATACCGTTATGAAATTAAACATATAATGATCAAACATTTAACTATGGTGGAATGGCATCTTGTTTGGTTTGAGGGTAATCCATCAAGTACATGTATTTCTCATCTAGAGTTAGAGCACGACAATCAATCATATCTTTAGGTGATAGTCTGAATTGGCAATATGTCTTCTTTTGTCTCCCTTTTCACAGATATTATTATCCTAAATGTCTTTGCCAATTAGTTCAGATAGCCAAATAAGCCAGAATTTATAAATGTCGGCATTTGATTATGTAAAGTTTTTTAATTATTGAATTTTTAACTAAAAAACAATGTGTTTTATTTGAAAGGTTTAAGTTATATCTGAACAGAACTAATATTAATCCTATTGTCATGTAATAAACAGTTTAGTCCAATATCTATGTTGTGATATGGAATGTCATTCCACATAACACATGGTACATATATTTATGACATATTTGGTATGTTGGACTAGACAAAAAATGTCTCTGCGCCTTAGTCTTGATCAAGAAAAGCACTAAACGCACCATCAAATATTTAAGCCTCTTGCCAAAACGAGGCAAAATTGGAAAATACAATTGATATTGTCATGTGTCTTTGTTGCTTATGTCGCCTCTATTAAATAGATGGCGTTTGGCTTTTCTTTCGATTATATGTACAAGAAACCTACCTGTGGGACACGTCGGAGGCAAGTTACATTAAGTGATAGTTACTCGAATAGCTTAATGCAAGGGCACACAACTCCATTTCTTAATGTCCTGATCGTTTGGCCGCCCTTGCTTAACGATTGGGATAACATGAGTGACTACCTCAAACTGGATGAACTTGCCAAGTACCAACCACAGGATCCTTAAGCATGATTAAGTAAATCTCTAGTCCTTGAGGCAATTCTCCGACAGGGTAAATCCATTCAATCACTCGGTTTGCGGAGATTGAATATCGGAAAAACACAAGAAATGGTTTACCACAAAGGTGAAACACCCCATCCACACAAGTGTATATAAATTATGGTGCCTAATTCATATACAACAGATTTCTCCGATCACACACTACAAACTACACTGTTAACACGGAGTTTCCACATTGTAATAAGTAGGGACTTCAAGTGGACAATAATTCTTTTGGTAGATTTCAAGTATCTAAAACAATTATTCACTAAACCAATTAAGGATCGACTGATTGAGTAATGTAACCAACTGTGATTTGCGCAAACACTCATCCTAGGTGGATTGCTACCGTCCAATATCATGTTTTATATTCTTTGTTTTCAAATATTCGATAGTCGAGAGAGACGTGTTACGGAGTTAGACATGCCACGTGGTGTGATCAATCCTCTTTACTTTCTAATTTCAAACACACTAGGAATGCTGTCTTCACATGTCTTAAACAATAAACCCAATTTTGTATGTTTTGGGATATAAATAAAGGAAAATTTTTAACTTTTAAATTATTTGAATTAAAAAATGCGAGTTTCATATCTGCTAGGTTTTATTGTAATTAGCTATTCTTTAGATAAAATTAAAGTTAAAAAAGAGTTATAAAAGTTAGAGTTATTTGGGAGGTTGTATGAGTCAATTAGGAGTTTTTGGATTCAAGTATGGAACAAGGAAAAAAAGTAGCTAGAATAATGCTAACTGGCCGACCTTCAGTGCTTGAGCACCACCTTGGATAAATCAATAGAACCATGCCGCCCACCTAGAGCTAGCTCGCCGCTCGAGCGGCGATGTTTTCCAGAGAAATTTTGTTTGCGATTTAAATAGCTTTTTGAGTACTAAACAATCCCAAACACTTTCTACTGTATATAACCAAGTCATATTCCGTTCAGATGGGTGGTTGATCATTATATTCTTCCCAAAAAAACATATTTAAAAGATCCTACATCAATTCTATACTAGGAAATCTTTCAACCACACTTTGGAAAACATCAAATCCAAAATTCTCAAAACACCAAACCAACCACTTTCGTATAATATGTTAGGGTTCTGAAGATTGAGGAAGTTGACCAGAGTTCCGATAGGACAAGAACGAGAAGTTCTAGATGATCCACGTGAGATAGACGATTTCAAATGGTCGAAAGCTGGTGTAGGAGTAAGCGGTCCAGGAGGGTCTTGGAGATTACAGGAACTAATATTCGTGACTTTTTGCTTATAATAATTGATAAATTTAGATTCTGCATTAATCACCTATTCACCTCCCTCTAAGTGTTAGTTGGGTCAAACTTCAATATTTCAATATCTACTATATGTATGCAATTTTCTTGATAGTAATTTTGATGTTTTTACTACTAGTGTAATTTTTTGTTCATTACAGAATTGTCTTATCCAATAACACTGTAGAATGGAATTTGCACTACGCCAACCTGTCGATAAGATAAGCAAACTTCCTGAAAATATAATAGATGACATTCTAATGGTATCATAACAAATTGGTATCCGTTTTATTCCTAACAGATCGAGGCAAGAGTTTGATTCTTTATTCATAAGACGATAATGCTCAGAACAAGTTTTAAATGTCTTTCGATACTCTTCTTCCAATTTATAACAATCATATCTCATAATAGGTGCACTTCAAGCAGTGACGGATCCAACACTTGGCGAGCTCCAGCGGCCTCCCATGCTGGATCCGCCGGGAGGAGTTTTTTTTGTTGGGAACAGATTAAATTTTAAGCTTATATTACTTGTATTTCATTTTATTTTCAGTCGTGGCTTCTAGCTCTGTTGGTTGGAACTTGAATGTTTATGTTGGATGTTTCATGTTTGAATCCCCTTGCCAGCAAAAACTTATTTTACAATGCTTTTATTCTACATTTTTGGGGCCACTCGTGCAGGATCCATCGGGAGGAGTTTTTTTTTTTTTTTGTTGGGAAGAGATTAAATTTTAAGCTTATATTACTGGTATTTCATTTTACTTTCAATCGTGGCTTCTAGCTCAGTTGGTTGGAACTTGTATGTTTATGTTGTAAGTTTCATGTTTGAATCCCCTTGCCAGCAAAAATTTATTTTACAATGCTTTTATTCTACATTTTTTACAAAAATTCAATAGGAGGTGGACCAAAGGGTTCGGGTCCTATTTGATAGAAGTATTGGAAGCTTGACCATTACGCCACTTATTGGTTGCTGTCATTGTGTTTAACAAAGTAATATTTGTTAGGTTCTATCTGGTTTGCAAGTACAATTGCAAAGATTCGAACTCGTGTTCTTCTTTTAAATTATACAAAACTTGGCAACAATTACATTCGATGAGTCCAATTTATTCTTATAAGAAAATTATATATTTAATTTGAACAAAATAATTGTTATATTTAAATTTTAGACCTTGTTTGATTTTCATTTTTTTCAAAAAATATTTTTTATGTTCTTTTCAACCACACATTTTTCAATAAAATAATATTACACGCAAATTCAAAACTTCTATATATTTTTAGCTACACATTCTCCATCAAATCACCATTTTAAAATGTATTTTTTGCGAAAAAACGCAATAAATAAATAAATGATATCAAATGGACTCTTAATATTTTATTGCGACTGAACGGTCGATAACCGCCTGTGCTGGGTTGAACTTCTGAATTCACCCCTGACTTCAAGTTGCGTAAACCAAAGAAGATACTGGCATTTTTAATCTCTTAAATGAAACCATACATTTTGTAGTACACATAACTTTAATCAATTTTTCAATCATACAATTTTATCAAATTCCTTTGAAACTTCAAACAAAGACTTTAGCCTGCGTGCATGACCCAAGAAAGAGAAGTCTGAAACCAAAGACCTGGATGATTTTCTTTGATTTATTGCCATTTTGTCCGCATGCTTGGAATAAAGTCTTTATTAGGACTCTCAAAGTTGCTACACTCTTCAAGTTCCAACAGCATCTAATTATTATTTTTACTTTCTGAAGTTTTTTGAAGGCTTGTTTCCTCATTTGCTATTATTCATGGAGTGGGTGAAAAGAAAGATAAGGATCTTGAAAAGGAGGAATCAGAAATTATCGCCTTGGTATCTTGAAAATGGAGGCAAGCTATTAGAAGGGCTTATTGCTTCCTCTAATGGCAAGTATAACACTCCTCGTCGCATCTCTACGGTTGAAGAACTTAGTTGTTGATATGCTGATTTTCGTGGTCTATGAAATGAGGATTCCAGATCTGTTATGCGGGATGAAACAGGCTATTACATCAGCCGCATTTTTCAGCAACGGTCTGTCCTAGTGAAGAAGTTCAATCTTTTTGGCATCGGAGACAAAGGTCCATCCTATGCTGTCAACCGTATAGTAGTCAACGGTGCTGATGAATTGCCACAAAAATGTTCTAAAGGTCTTGGGTTGGTGCTTAGATTTGGAAATACCTGCTATTATCTATGAAATCGGCATCAATTATGGACTTCTCAATGGCATTCTTTTATGGAAGGAACTTCGGGAATAATATTGGCAGATCACTCTCTTGGAGTAATGACTTAAAAACTGCAACAGACGTTGCAAATGCTGTTGTTTATCTCCATACAGCATTTCCCACACCTATCATCCATAGAGATCTAGGCACAAAAAACATTGTCATAGACAATAATGGTGTTGCTAAGCTTGTCGATTTCTCACTTAGCATAGCATTGCCTCCAGGAGAATCACAGGTGGAAGTAGATATTGTTGTTGGGATGAAAGGACATCTTGATCCTGACTACATGACAACAGGCATTAGCACAGAGAAGGGTGATGTCTACATGTTTGGAATTATTCTCCTTGAACTCTTAACTGGTCGTTACCCTTTCTTCAATGTAGATGATGAATATCCTTCTTTATGGAATTTTGCAGAACACCACGTTGAGAAGAATGAGTTGAGTAAAATTTTGGACCCAATAATTTTAGGGGAGATAGGCGAAATAGAGCATCAATTGCAAGCTTTCTTGAGACTTGCTTTGAGATGTACTCTTGACAGAGGAGCACATAGGCCATACATAATCGATGTAGCAAACGAGCTAGAAAGAACTAGTAAGGATTCAAAGGTCTGTTCATCCACTTTAGCCCACTCAAAGTAGCAGCAGATAAGCCATATCGTCAAAGATATTATGTTGGCAAAAACACTTTCTAGATAATATGTCTATCTACTTATAAGCGACTACACACCAAGCAATAGGTGAATGCACTTGATGCTTACTAGTCATGGATGAATGTTTACTCGAGATAAGCTGTAGACTTGTGAAAGGTCTGAGCATGAAACTTGTGAAAGATGAGATCAATTTAACATAAAAATGAAAGCACGTATGCCTTTGATGTTCTAAATATCAAGAGATGCATTATAAATATTGATGAGCTCCACATATAGCTCGCGGTGTCAAACTGTATGGAACAGCGCTAAGAAAACATTATCTTGAAGTCTTGTGACTACACAAAAATCCAATCTAACTTACTCGAAAGTGTACAATACTCTTCCAATTTAAGACACAAAGACTCAAGTACTGGCCATTTCTGACTCACCAGAATCGACCTCGTTAGTGTCAATAGGAGCCAAGCCCAGATCCTCCACAAGCTTCCCCCAAGCCTTCAACATATTAGGAGGAAACTTCTTATTCATAGTTCGAATCATTGCTTTCACCTCATTCTTATGTCCATTCTTGGCCAGCCCTTCTGCTAAATACTTCAAAGTATTAAAATCCGGAATCTTGTGCAACTTCACACTCTCTTTAAACACCTTATACCCTGTCACGTGTCGCCCTTGCTCGCACAAATAAAACACCAACGTCCTGAAAGTAGTCGTATTTGGATTACAGCCTTTAGACCCCAACTCATCATATACCTTCTTTGCTTCATCCATCATACCATTTTTACAATAGCTCGTCATCAAGTAGTTATAACTAATAGCATCAGGTTTTATCCCAGCATTACTCATTTCATCGATTAGCTTCTTAACCCCCTCTACCTCCCCACCATGAATATGCATAAGCCTCACATTATACGCCCCAACATCAGGAATACAACCCTTTTTAGTTACTCTCTCATCCCAAAAACTCTCGGCCTCCTCATTCCTTCCCTTCTTGTACAACCCGTGTAAAATTGTGGTAAAAGTAACCGGAGTAACCTCAATCCCCTTCTCCTCCATCTCATTCAACTTCTCTATTGCCATTTCAGGCGACCCCATCTCGCAATACGCTTTAATCAATATACCGTAAGAGAACTTATCAGGAGAAAGCCCGTATTTCGCAGGAATCTCATTAAAATAACTGGGCACACGATCAAACAGTTTGGAATGTACACAAGCAGTAAGTAAGGCATTGAAGGAAAGTGATGATCGAGGGGTGCCCAGATCGGTCATTTCATCGAACGTTTTGAGGGCATTCTCGAACATACCTGCAACGCCATAGGAACGAATGAGGGAGGCAAGGAAGGCTTCTTCAGTAATTTGGGGAAGCGTTTTGTGGGACTCAAGAAATGATTCAATGTCGGAGAAGCGGTGGGATTTGGCCAGACGACGGACGGTGAACTCCTGGGCGTAGCGAACGGAAGAGGTTGAGGAGGAATGGTTATTGGAGGATGTAAAGGAGGAGTAGATTTGAAGGGCCATGTCCGGGTCGTATTCGTGTCTTAGTTTGCTTTTGGTTTGGGAAATGGACAAGGGCCCGGACAGTTTGGCTGCGGTAGCAGTAGCGGCGGCTGCGGTGGTGGTGCAGAGGTGGCGGGCATGGCGTAGGGCGATGGAGGAAGACATTTTGGCCCTGTACTGTCTAGGGTTTTGGAAAGAAATAGAGTGAAAATTCTTTAGGGTTTATAATCGAATGCAGCAGTTAAAGGGGATTGGATTTCATCAATAACATTTTCAATTTCATATTTCATATTTCATCATCATTTATCAAAATATACTAAAATTTAATTTTAATTCCTAACAAATAAGGGTTTAGAATATAAAACTCTTCATGGGAACTGGAAACAAATTTGTTAAGTACCAAGCTAGGTAGCAATTACATAATATTAAGCCCATGTATAACAACCACGTGGGGAATAAACATGAATTAAATTGTTGATTCATTTATATCTAAAGTCATATGACTCATTTAATTAAATCTATAAAATATAACTATTTAAATTGGTGTTTTAATACCACTTATGCTAGATAGTACTATTTTAACAACAAAATATACTTCATATCCTATCCCACAATGTAGAAAATTGAGGTAGGAACTTATAAGGTGTTTCCCACCTCGTACACCTTGTACTTGATCAGACTCTCATTTGTTATAGATTTAAAAATAACGTTAACAAGTAAGTAAATAGAGAAATATTGTAATAAATACTATTTTAATCTCCATTCTTACCTCACTACCTAGAAAATCGTCAACGGAATCGGGAGATATTGCCATCCTTTTATAAGTTCATGGATTTTTACCATGTTCAATTTGAGTATTTGTCGAGTTGTTTGAACAAAATCATCAACTACTTTGAAAAAATCTAGAAGCACGTTAAAATTTTGAAATCAAAGTTAACGATTAATTTCATCAAAGGACTCAAAATTACCATACAATTTCCAACTGCTCATTTTGTAAAATCCACCCTTTCTTTTTCACAAAATCAACTTTTTAGCTCTTTTAAACAATCTCTTAATGTCAAAATGAAATGTCTCATTAGTTTTATTAAGGGTTAGAGATATTGGGTAATTGCCTCAAAAGTCAAAAGTTGTAGGACTTTTATTGCAAATAATAAAAAGTTAGTTATTGTATGGAAAACTTCTAATTGAAGTTGAGGCCGAATCCTCGCAAAATTTGGTCTCCAATTTACAGTCGATTTTGGAATCTTGCACGTGAAGGAATCCTTGTTGAGTTAAAGAAGCCTTGTTTGAATTTAAATTAAACTCTTCTACTTGGTTATTGATCCTATAAATAGTGGATATATTTCATTATTTTGGACATGGCCAGAGAGTTGATCTGAGAGAAAAATATTGCGAGCCTAACATCTTGAGACTTTTCGTACATTTGGTAGAAAAGTAGGTGTGGTAAAGTTCGGGTTTATTTTTTTCTTTGTAATACTTTGGGATTGGGTTGGTGAGTGAACTTCTACATAATTGTAACAATTTTTCATATGGTGAAAAGCTTTAGCGGTCTATTTAATTTGTGTGTTATATTCTTTATTTTTCTTGTTTGATAATATTTCTCTGAACAACAAAAGGTCCTACGAGTAAATAGAAATAAAGGGAATTGGCGTAAAATTTCCCAACAAGTGGTATCAGAGTGTTAGGTGGTTCGGAGTATTGGAGCAACAAAAAAAAATGCCGTCATTGAAATATAACGTAGAGAAATTTGACGAGAGAATCAATTTTGACTTGTAGCAAGTACAAGTTAGTGATTTATTGATTCAAGTTGGACGGATTGCACTAGGCTTTGAAAGGAAAATCAACCAAGAGTTCTGACAAGAAAGTTGAATCCAGTATGAGCGATGATGATTGGGAAGAATTGGATTTGAAGGCTGCAAGCATGATACATCTCTGTCTGGCTAAAAACGTTCTTACAAATATTCATGGAATATCTATTGCAAAGGAATTATATGAGAAGTTAGAAGAACTATATCAAACGAAAAGCCTCTCAAATCGGTTGTACCTGATAGAGAAATTTCATTAATTGCGCATGGAGGCAAGTACGAAAATCTTAGACCATCTGAGTGTTCTCAACGAGATTGTTTCAGAACTGGAGGCTATTTGGAGTAAAGATAGATACTACGGCTTATCTGGTCTCTTCTGTCTACCTATGAACATATCAAACCAATCTTATGTATGAGAAAGAAACTGTGAGTTTTACAGAAGTACAAGCAACTTGATCTCAGAAGAAAGAAGATTAGGGGACATAATAGTCTATCTAACAATCTGGTGCTTGTGACTGAAAAGAAGAAGAACAGCAACTCAATGAGAAATAAAATAACTTGTTGGAACTGCGGTCTGAATGGACACGTGAAGAGAAATTGTCCAAAAGGTGTAGCAGAGTCGGCTAACTGTTTGGGGTAGGACAATGCGTCTCTCCTGGCGGAGGAGGACGCGGATGTAGTGCTGTAAAATAAGATGGGAACATCCTCATGGCATGTTCTCAGTTGTCATGATAGAAGATGTGTTCTTACTGGCATGGGTCAGCATATCTGCACATAACATTGATTGACATTTGATGCAAGGTATGTAGGTATGTGGTGGTATTGTAATGTCAATGGCTAATGAGCTCTTTAAAAAAGTCAGTTGAAGAGTTGCACCATAACTATCACCAGGGTTGTTTCGACATGTAGCTAATGAAATGCTCGGAGTTCGCGAATAACTCTGAGTGGTTATACTCACATGGTGGAATATGGGACTGTTAAAGTGTGCCAAAGGCTTACCTGTTTTTTCCAAGTATTGTGATTAAAAGTTGTAGAAGAGATGACAAGATTTTGACTCTTTTTCGACAAGGTGGAGATTGTTGGGTAATTACCTCAAGAGTCAAAAGTTGGAGGACTTCTACTGCAAATAATAACAAGTTAGTTATTGTATGAATCCATGCAGAACTTAGTCTCCAATTTATAATCGGTTTTGAAATATTGCACATGAAGGAATCATTATTGAGTTAAAAGAATCTTGTTTGAGTTTAAATTAAACTCTTCTATTTGATTATTGATCCTCTAAATAGCGGATGTATTTCATTATTTTGGATGTGGCCAAAGAGTTAATCTGAGAGAAAAATATTGTGAGCATAGCATTTTTAGACTTTTCGTATATTGAGTAAAAAAGTAGGTGTGGTAAAGATCAGATTTATTTTTTCTTTGTAATATTTTGGGATTGGATTGGTGAGTAAAGTTCTATATGATTGTAATAATTTTTCATATAGTGAAAAACTTTAACGATTTATTTAATTTATGTGTTATATTCTTTATTTTTCTTGTTTGCTAATATTATTTTGAACAACAAAAAATCCTACGAGTAAATAGAAATAAAGGGAATTGACATAAAATTCCCCAACAAGAGAAGCTATATGTAAGCTAGTAAATCAATTTATCATCTTAAAATAAAAATAATCTACTCTTGTTTTCTTATTGTAAAAATCACATTGACTAATACTCGCTCAACTCAATTAACTGAATTTATCTTCCTGTTTGTTTCTTATTTTTGGAAGAATGAGAATGAAAAATATAGTCATTATGAGTCTCACACAAAATATAAAAATTCAAATTTGATAACTTGATATGATGAATAACGATCATATTTTTCATTTTGATGAGGAAAGAATGGGAAACAAATGGAGCTATATTTAGGACTTGTTGAGCAAAACTTTTGCTTCTTGTATATAAACTTCTTGAATAAGTCAATTTTCAACTATTTTTCTTTAAAATCTCTTCTAGCTAGATAAAACACTTTCAAAAATTACCAAACAAGTCCTAAGGAAGCGTGCAACTTTTGATTTTTCAAATCCCAGTCAAACTACCCCTTTTAACAACTCAATATTTGGAGCACAAGGTTCATAACATTTCAATGTTACACCCTTTATATTAATTTCTGAAAGCTGTTAGAAGCAATAAACATGAACAATCACGATCTAACAAGAGTCCTATAATGCCCGGCCAACCAATAGCCAAAATGAGAAAATGGCCGTACTTAGTTAGAAACTAATTTAGCTGTACAATGAATAACCTGTATGTAAATGAAGTATTTCGAGACCTATCATCTTTCTCTTCGTCTGCTTTTCTATGTTTGATTATGCGGTGTGAGAACATCAACGCATACACTAATCATACTCCGGTGAGCTGATCTGAATCCGGACAAATAGTATTCCTGTTAGTGAACAAATAAATTGGCAGAGAAGTATGGTAATGGTGTAGCACCCGCAAAAAAATTCCACATACAAGGTTTAATTTTGCAAAGGCACTTATAAGAAAGTTTTGATAGTACAAGGTGCCTACTGCATCACTTCGACCAGGGTACAAGGGTCAGGTTCACATGTAAATTGAATACCACAGACCTCGAACACGAGCCAAGCTGTAACACTCAAGTTCTTTAATTCATTTAAGAGAATCAATACCCTCGCAAGCCGTTATAATTTTTCCATTTTCATCAAATATCAAATAAGAATTATTCGGATGAACCACGGGTACCGACTATAAGGCCAAACAATTACCTTGTTCCACAAAAAAACAGCACATGTTCTTGCAATAGCAAACAATCGAAAAAGAAGTTCCTGAAATGATCAGATACTCAAGATTAGGAATCGTATACACGTTTAATGGCTAGAAAAACAGACATCTCAGTTTCGTAGCAAATAAAAAAAAATTAATCTGTAGCAAGTAGTAAACCCAATCCAATATGTAACTTGGTACATGCACAGTATAGAGCCCCTTGGATGAAAAAATCGTATTTAATTGATCCACAGAATAATATGGCCAATTTGAGAAGTAAAACAGCTCATATCTTGTAGACTTGATGCCAATGTCAACCAGCCCCCACGCTCCAAAGGAAAATTAAATAAATAATAATTAAAATTAAAATTAAGAACCATGGATACACTGTACCAGCATGAAATCATATATATTTAATAAACTTTAACGTTAAGAGCCCCATTATTTAAAAATTCATGTTTTCCCAAATTCACTTTTAACCACAAATTTTCCCAATAAAATAATTTGCACGTAAACCCAAAACTTTTCTCTACTTTTTAGTCACATATTTTCCAAAAATCAATATTACAAAATTCATTTCTGTGAAAAATGGGGCTCAAACAAGGGATTAACGTGTTCTTATTACAGAGCACTCATCCCCAGTGTAGTTGGTATCCTGTGTATATTTAAATCATCCTATTTCCATTGGAAGGTCGAATGTTCAAAGAGCTACTCAGGATCTCAAGAATACATCCCTTACTGCTTCCAAAGAAACAGGTTGCCTGCCATCTTCAACAAACGACTTTTGTATCACAGGTCCACAGCCATCTTAATTGTTTTGTATACACAATACGTATATGTAAACACACATTCCTTAGTCTGCGTATATGTAGTTTACATTAAATAGACCTATTAACTTTTCAAATTCCAATATGTCACGATCGATTGGGAAAATATTCAAGGGTGATATAAACTGAAATTAGCACCAGACATGCACTGAAATATAACTTCAAGAAATGATGTTGATCATTTTTTTCAAAATGCACAACTTAGACATCAGAATAACTTGAGCACCAAGGCACTTCAGGGCAAACTCGGACAGAGAACATCAGATCACAATGCTCTATGTAAACAAAATAAGCAGAATTTTCTTTCTTGAACACAAGAAGCTCGATAACTTCATGTAATTTAGTGATTTTCCATCAAGTCATGTGGTGAGGTTGTGCTTTTTCACTCTTCTATTTATCGTAATTCATAGTTTATATGCTCATTCATACCTTATAGACTCACATATGATTTGGTTGAATGAACTTTACTTTTGTGGATTTCCATCACCACTTTTAAGGACCCATGCAGAACCTTGTGATACACATATTTCTTGTAAAACCTGCAGGTCATAAGGGAGTAAATAAACCTAAATTAGCAAGCAATTTATTCACAAATAAGTCATTGATGCTTCCAACAATGATAACAGGGAAAAGGACAAGAGGCTCGGTAGACCAGTAAAATATCTCTGTTCTCATCCTAGTAACAACTGTTCTGCTTGGGAAACTGATAAGAAGCTATGGGACTGTTTTCTTAGGAAACCACGTGCATATAATTTCCCACAAGGAGGTCTGACTTGAGACATTCAAGCGATAATCAGAAAATTTGATGGGTTGTTACTAAGAGTACTCTTAATTATTGAGGGAATTCTAAAATGCATGGGGAAATTTCTAAGGAGCGAATATATCTTCCCTCACATCACGTCACCAGCTCTTAGAATTATATTCGCTACACATTTCTCTGCTTCATAATTCCATTATTTAGCTACTTTGAGCATAATGCTAGATTAAGTCCCAACTGCTCATTTAAAAGAAGTGGGTGACATAGGTTGTGTAATGCTTAAGAGCCTTTAATAGGAAGGAAAGACATTGGAAGCAGTCATGATGCTAGATTAAGTCATAGATGCTAGATTAATGCAAGATCATTAGGAGGCCTCCCTCCCAACCACAAACACCCACACAATGAGAGTGGTAATCCCCTATCATCTCCTGTGACAATCTCAATCTTGCAGCCTTTGAAAGGCCTAAAAAATTAATGAAAACCTAATTATCAATTTTTCAGGAAATAGTAAATTCGCCTCAAAGGGATCGGGGACAGATATTTGATCTCAGCACCTAAAACAATTTCATCACAACTCACAAGTAATTGTAAGCTTGACCTTCTGATATTCAATCTGAGGTATATCCCTTTTAAGTTCCATCTTAGCAGCCTCGACTATGGGAGCCTTTTTGAGCTTTGTATTTGGTCCTTCAGCAATAAGAAGTCAATGACAACCTACCTCGAAGGGAAAGAACCACATCAATAATTATTAACAATATAAAAAGACGATCCTTTCTTATAAAGAAAAGTTGGTAAAAGAAAAAATATCAATGTTCTAGGTCCGAATAAGTGAAGGCAGGTCTAACCTGAATGGATCATATTGTGGATGATCTGGTGATGATTTTGGAACATAAACACCATGAATATTAAACGCAAATTGATTAATGATTGCTTGAAGCTCATCAGGGAAAGCACCAATGCTGTTTGCTGCAGCAACTGCCTCTTTGGCAATCCCCTAGAACAAGCGGACTCAGAAACTGCCAAGTCCCTCAAACATTGGCAACTTTGTTGAAAACTAGCATACGTTGACAAGCAAACTAAATTTCCACAGGAAAACCCTACCACTCTGAGGATGAAGTTAAATTCGCTAGATTAAAGGGTATGTTACCTTGAATAAAGTTAATTAAATAAGAAAATTCAAACTAGTTCCTTTTATCTTTCCATTGAGAATCTAAATAATATAAATAACAAAAAAAGTTCAAATATGGTAATGGTTCATTGGCATTTTGTTAAGCCATGTCAATTGCACCAACCCAGCTAATGCAAAAATGTAATCTTACTAGTGTCTCATGCTAAGTGCAAGCAGAGAACTAATTCACGTGACCACCCATCTTCCCAACTCTTCCACTAACTATATCATGTCTCAATTTAATGAACCACGGCCAGAAAAGGCATGGATGAAAAAATCACAGCAAAACTTATTGCGTGTGAAAAAAAAAATCGTCAAACATTAATCAAATCACATGCAAAATAACTGTTAACCTACAATTAGCTTCTGTGAGCTTTAGGATATAAAATGTCAATGCAGTGACGATAAATATCTTCAATCACAAATATGACCAACTATTTGAAAATAAGGACTTGATGTAATAAAATGATCTCACTTGCAACCCTTGATGCTTTTGAAAAGTTTCTGAAGGGCTTCATTAAAGCTTCTCGAGTCTCTTCTGGCATTGGAGTCCTCGAGGATACCCCATTTGAAGTTTTCAGAGTTACTTTACTGGAACTCATTGACGTGGCAAGATTGTTTATGACTATAGACTTCGACGCATTTTTCATACCAGGTCCATTTCTTCCTCCAAAAAGAAGATCATTTAACTTCTTTTCCAAGGCCTCCCATGCTTCTTCTTTCTTCTTTGCAACAGTAGGATTGAGTTTTAAGAATCTGCAATCAGGAAGCTCTCTGAGTTTCCAATCACTAAGTGTTTAATACAGCAACACTTTTTGACTTAGCCCTTGCTTGATTCTCATTCTTGTCAAAAAATACATTTTTTAATAGTGTATTGATAGAAAATGTGGTTGAAAAATAAAGAAAAGTCATGGATTTTCGTGTGATATGCTTTTATTAAAAAATATGTGGTTGAAATAGAGTCAAATCACTGTTGAAGAATATATTTTGATGAAAAAATGGGACTCAAACAAGGGCTTAAAATCATATAGTCACATAAAGGAATGAATATCAAATATTGAACAGCAGCTTAACTACACAAAGAGACGCGAATCCTCCTGGAAAAATCATTTATTCATCCTCTATCAATCTATGCTATATACAACCAAAGAAATACAAGAATTGTGTTCTCATCGCTATAAATCAAGTTAATTGGAATAGCAACAAATCATATTGATTGTCGTCGTACAAATTGGGCAAACAGATGAACCAAATGTGTACCTCTCCACTATCCTTGTTCTGGCATGATGGCTTGGTCTACAAAGGTACTAAGCGTCTCAAAGATAGACCCCTACCTCTAATAATATTCCAATACAAGTTTGTTATTCATTCACTATTCTAGAGTATTCCATAGTTAGTTGGCAAAAGGGTAAAATTATAATAGAAAACTAGTAAATTCTCTATAAATGTAATGGGGGGAGCTAGGATATTCATTCAAGAAATATTGGGAAAATTTGGGGAGAGACCAGGCGTCTCGAAAGCCTTGGAATTGTTCTGTGTCTATTTTCACAATTAAAGCAATAAAATAGCAGTTTGATATACAGTTCTCATTGTTTCAGTAAACAATTCAGCCTCTTCAAATCAGGTTCCTATCAATTTGGTACCAAAGCAATCGATTCTCGGATAAATGAAAGCTAATTTTAGCAGAGAATTAAAAGAGAAATGGAGCTTGCTATTTAATCGGTTTGAGAAGATGGTAATGCAACGGGAAAGGGGTCGAGAGGGTGAGTCAGGGCTTGATTCATAAGCCAGCTAATTATATCAATATTCCATGGAGAAAATACAGATTGGTGGGTGTCAGAGGCGGAGGCAGAGAAGATTTTTTCAAAAAATCGGTTGTCGGAAGTGGAGAAAATAGAGGCCGCCATAGCTTGTTTTGATGGTGAAACATCGAATTGGTATGAGCAGTTAGATCAACTACGACCGATGTGTACATGGGATGAATTGAAGGGGTTGATGAAGGCTCGATTTCACAGGAAGCAAATCTCCATTGTTGAGGAAAGTCCAGTATGTAAGCCTTGAGGGATGGTGAATTGGATGATAGAGGTGAAAGAACGCCTATATCAATTGCAACTAACTCCAGCACCATTGCAGGAGGAGGAGGAGAAATCCACGGTGGCAAAGCACAGCGAGAGGAAGGAGAACGAGGTAGAAGCAACTTCGGCCAAAACCACAGCTAACTCTGAAATTTCAATCAAAATCGAGAGGAAGGAAAACGGGGTTGCAGAGATTTCACATGAACCGATTGCTACCTCTGATATTACACCCAAATTAGACGATGGCGGAGTGAGTACCGAAGGAAAGAAGGGCAAAGAGGAGAGCTGCCGCTTGGACAATCTCAACCCGAGATTAATTGGAAAAAGTACCGAAGGAAGGAAAGGCAGAGAGGAAGGGTATAGCTGGAAAAGTAGACACCTGATATAGACTGAAATGGAATCACCATGGGCCTATTTGGGAGCGATTTATTCACCCAAAAAATTGATTTTTTGACCATTATTTTACTATTTCAATCGTCATATTTGACTTCTTCTCTCACAGGTGAACCCAACTTTCCTCCTAACGATCAAAAAATCAATTCTCAAAATCACTCCCAAACAGGCTCCAGATTTGGGCCAAATTTTGGGATTGACCCAAAGGACTGAGGGTAGGTATGACTCATGGAAAGAGGCCCATTCCACTTACGACCCACTTAAGGCCAAAACTAATTCATATAGCCCAAATCTACAATCTCATTGCCTTTTAACCACACATCCAACCCCTACAGCCAGAACTTTCCTCGGACCCTCGCGATCCATCAAAAGGCAGCCACAGTCTCCTTAATCCTTTTGGAGACAGCAACCCAAGGTGCGACACCCTTCAAAAAGTCGATGATTAAGAATTACATATGCAAAGAGAGTTGCAGGTCTTATTGGTACAAGAGGGTGATGGGGATGATCAATTAGATTGGTCAGAAGAGGAAGAAGATTACAAATTGGAGAGTTGGTTGACCTGTCACTTAACGCCACAATGGGTCTCACCGCTCCAAAAACCATGAAAAATAGGGGACCCATTTTTGAGCAATCAGTAATAGTCGGGATTGATTGCAGAGCTACACCTAACTTCATTTCAACGAAGTGGGTTGGTCAATTAGAGCTGCAGACCACAGACACAACAAGCTACAAGCTCTAATACCAATTTGTTAAGGTTCCAATTGCAATTTGTAAACAGAAAATATGTTGTTGTTATTAATTGAAGAAAACTAAGAAAATTTTCAGCAATGGAACAGAAACAATAGCCATTCGAGAGGGCTAAAACTCTCCTAAAGTTCTCTCTTCTACTCACTCAATATCCTCCCCTCTATTGCTAGCTTCTACCTTTATTTATAGATCTCTTCTAATAGAATTCAGTTTTGCCTCTCCACCAACTTGGATATTCTGTTTCTAGATCCTTCTAGAATAAGTGAGGTGGATTGGAGCCTGTCATTACTTGCCCCTCCGAAATCCACCTTGTCCTCAAGGTGGAAGTTTAGCTTAGGAGTCACTTAGTTGGAGAAAGATACAACATTTCTGGCATCCCAAAAGTCCGTGTCTGGAAATGCTATCTTCAACATTTGAAAGCAAAAATCATGCACTTTCTTGCTTCAGTTCTTAGTTGAAATGGGAAAACATAGCATTGCATCCCCAGCATCAACATAAGCTGCACATATGACATAAGCTCCCTCACTCCTAAGTAATCAGATTTAACGATGCATATATCGATCTTTCCTCCCCTTCTATACTTGGTAGCCCCAGCACTTATTAATGTCTTGTTTATAGGCCCCCAACCCGTTCTATTAATTCTTCCTTGGGTCCCCTGGAGAATGACAGAGTATTCATCAGTTTGGTCATTGCGGACTCTGGCTATGCGCTTGAGGTGAATACCAGAAATTAATCCCATAAAAGGGTTGGTGGTGATGTCCACTTTGTCTTCCTCTTTTCCACCAGAAGAGTCACTGAAAGTGATGCTTGATTGGATTCTTCTCCCGCCACCAATGTATATTTGTTTCCCTTGCAGCCATGGCAACATTGCACCTAAAAGCAGTTTGAAGGAATTCTGTATTTTAGGTGGCAGATTGTGGTTCCTGGACATATTAGAAACAAATTTAGCCTTAGGGATTGAAGAGATCTGGATCAAGCTCATTTTATCACTTTGGTTCATTTTTTGGAAAGCCCACAAAGGGATGCAACCAGTTATGGAATTTGCATGAACAACATTTTAATGATAGGTGGACAAATGGCTACACAGGCTAACAACTACAGCAAGCTTACTCCAAAAATAGTTCAACTGTATGGAAATCCAAATTTTGAAGTTGAACCACGCTTTCACCTTGAGGACAAGGTGGTTTTTGGGGCGGCGGGTAATGATAGACCCCCACCTCTAATAATATTTCAATACAAGTTTGTTATTCATTCACTATTCTAGAGTATTCCATAGTTAGTTAGTAAAAGGGTGAAATTGTAATAGAAAACTAGTAAATTCTATATAAATGTAATGGGGGAGCTGGGATATTCATTCAAGAAATATTGGGAAAATTTGGGGAGAAACCAGGCCTCTCGAAAGCCTTGGAATTGTTTTGTGTCTATTTTCATATTTAATGCAATAAAATAGCAATTTGATTTACAGTTCTCATTCCTTCAGTAAACAATTCAGCCTCTTCAAATCAGGTTCCTATCACTCAGGATATAAATTAAACCAAAAAAGGAGAAGAAGCAGAAAAGAGCCAAAGACTACTATTGCATGCAAAGTAAACTTGAAGCAAGGACATGAAATGGTATGGACATTTATATAACTCCGCTTAAGCACATTTCAGATCTATCTTGAATTTTATATAGGTATTATCTACGCATATTTTAATGGAAATGGTGTGCAAATATGGATTGAATGGCCTTGCAAGGGCCTAGATAGCTTTTCCAGTCATCACCCACATATCCAAAAAGAAATAAAAAGAAATAGGCTTCCTTAACTGAACAAGTGATGCTTTCATTCAAGAAAGAAATAGTTGTTCTTAGCATCCAATTGAAAGAATCAATGAGACTGAAATGGCTACAAACTGGCGAAAAATAAAATTAGCAGCAAGCAAGTGAACAAAAGGGAAAACCACATGCTTCTTTGATGCCGCTAAAGGTTTTTCTTCCTTGGGCTCTTCCACATTAACAGCACCTTCACCATTACCAGTTTCAATTTTCTTATTTTTAGAATCCCTGGGCTTGAGTCCTTGCATTGATTGTCGGAGCTGCAGAACTGAATTAATAGGAGTTGTAAGAACTCAGTCAGATTTGGAAAGGAACCTTAACAGCAAATTCTAGCTATACAGAGAGAATTAGAAATGAAAATAAAGCGAGTACTCAGAGATCATAGAACGTGCCTTATTTCCTCCTAACCCCAAGGTCCTCAACAGCATACCCGCTTGTGTGAAGTGGTTCCCATGATGAAGCAAGAGTCTACCAAGAGATCACAAGCAAAAAGATGATGCATATTTTACCTCTTTTAATAAAGCCATGAGTAACACAACTAATTCTCAAAATCAGAAAGTTAATAGTACAGAAAACAATAGGAGGGTAAGCATGGCCAAAATTTGTCTCTATGAATTCATCTGAGCACCTTTTTGTCAACTTTAAGATGCTGTTAGGATTGTCGAGTTGAACTTTACCTCTCCCCAATCTTTGAATGAGTCGGCTTTCCATCCTTTAAATGAAGGATCATGGCTTTATGGACTCCTATGCATATTATAGTCAGGTACTATAAATGCATATAATGGGGGGAAGTTGAACCTGCTTTGTTATCTGCACTTTAGGATCAGCATCACAATCATAGTTACTGGAATCCACATTAACTGCCAAATCAACTTCAAATTCTGAACTTGCTGGCTTCACCGTTACCTGAATAATCAACCACAAATTCTCATAATTTCTACATTGTAAATTAACAGAATGCAGATTCTTTTATCATGATATAAAAACATCAATCGTGTTTTAATATTGTGTAACTCTTCACATCTGTCCTCCAATTCATATGGCCGCCATACTGGCGCCTCCTTGGATATTACAACACATACAACTACAAATACAAAAAATAAAAATCAACAGTATGCAAATTTATTTAAAATAAAAATGCAAATGGCCTCTTCACCAAATGATAAAAACCTTAAACTTGATTGCCCTAGTATTAGGATCAATAGGAGAAGCAAAATACACATCAATTTCTCGAACAACGTCGTTCGGAGCTTCACCTCCCGCGTCTTCTGTTTCATGCATCATCTCTTCCTTAGTTTCATTTTCATTTCCTTCATCCGGCTTCACTTCAACTTCAACATCCATTTCGACCCCATTTTTATTCGGGTTCGGCGTCACGTTCCTCCTTTTTAGTAGAGACAGTAGAATCAGATTCCCCTGGGCGATAACTCAACTGAACGAGATTGACATGGTTCGTTTTTGGTTTTGGGTTTGAACTTGGAGCCCTTGGGCGCGAACCGGGTGGGTCGAGATGGGCCCCGCGTCGGGTTAACCAGCAAGTCGTCCAGGTCCATGTCCTCCGTCAATGTTTCTATGATTTTTTCTTTGATTGTGAATAAAAATTGGGTGGCAAGAAAATGAATTTTAGGGAATTAAATTATTTAAAATTTGTTTTATTGAGAATTGTCAATTAAATGTGTTTGATTGATATAATTTTTATTTAGAAAATGTTGAAATTTTCTATATTTTGATTTCGTTTGACTTTGTTTTTCATAGAAATTGTCAATTCAAGGAATAGAATTTATTCCGATGGTAAAAAAAATTAAGCTCTTGTTTGAGCCCCATTTTGATGGGAAAATAAAATTTTGAATAGTATATTGATGTGAAATGTGTGGTTAAAAAATATGGAAAAGTTTTGGATTTACGTGTAATATTATTTTATTGAAAAATATGTGGTTGAAATTATGTCAAAATACTGTTGAAAAATTCATTTTCTCCAAAGAATGGGGATCAAACAAGGACTAAGAAAAAAAGCTGAAAAACCAAATTTCACCAAAACATGAGAATTGGTTATCCACAAAATCAAGGAAAATCCATGACGAATTGCTGGAAAAATTTTTCAATCAAACAACGACAAAAGGTGGAAAATGGAAAATCCATGGAAAATGGACTAAATCAAACAAGCTCTAATTTCAATACTAAGATGATGAGAGGAGAGAATTTACTCTTTAGTTTTGTGATTACTACTGTGTTTACTCACAAATTCATTTATCCTTAAATTTCAACCCAACTTATATATCCAATATTCACAATCCATTTACCCAAAATCTAAAATACGATCCATGACCTGCTCATCATCTAAGTGTCTGTGTCGTCTTCGTCAGGTCACTCCAGTCTCCACCAGCCCGCCTCCGCCCTTCTGCCGCCGATCATTTCATACACCAATTCCCAAAATCTTTGAGAAGTCGGTCGAAGTCTGCTCGTCGGTCGTATATTAGCTTATTAGGCAAACTGGCAATGGGCATCGATTAATAGAGTCACAGAACGGTAACTGCATTTCTTTTGGAATTTTGAGGGGTTTCAATGGTTCATAGATTTGTAACATATCCTTCATATTTCTTAATGTTTTGGGAAATTTTAAGAGATGGTCTCTTATTTGTCCATTGTTGGACCGAGTTCGAATTCTTTTAGTCTTTTGTTCTCCACAATGCTGACTGGTTATCTAGTTGTGCTAGTGGTGGAAAAGCATTTAAATTTCCAAACAAGTATGAAGAACCTATAAATTTCTCAAGTTAAATGTTAATGATCTGAACTTTGCACCGAACATTCAAGGTTTTGAAAACTAGATAGGCCCGACTAGTTCAATTCTTGTGTTTTTTAGTTCACCCCCTTATTACATTTTAAATTGTCAAGTAAATTGGAGAAAATCCCTAGCAGTGGCATCCTAATCACAATGTAGTTGTGAAGGAAATTGAAAATATGAACAAGATTAAAATGGCTCTTTTTGTCTATCACACGATGAACTTTCAAGACTTCAGTGATTATTTTTATGGGATTTTTGCTTGATCAAATTATGATGAGATTTCCCTTCTGTTATAGTACTAGTTTTAGTAAGTTTAAAAATATTTAGCAACATTGAGGGTTTCATCATGATCCCTTTCTAATTAATATTTCTAGAAGATTTGGTATACTGAATACTTGATACAAAAAAAAAAAAAAGTGTTGAAAATTGGGCTTTTAAGGTCTTTTTTGGGATTTTACTATGTAGGAAGTGTGATAAAGTGGATGAATTTGATAACTTAATTGAAGGAATTGATTTGGATAACTTCTTACAATGCGACAATGCCCTAAATTTAATTTTACTTACATTTGATAATGTATAAGTTAAAGTATCATAATTTTATGTAAATTTTTATTTCAGGCTCGTGAGTTGTGACGGGATCATTTTCAAGGGTGTAATTCCACAATTTTCGTTGAAATTCCACTTCTCAGGTAAGCAATGGCTTGCCCTAATTTGTTATTGAAGATATTAAAAATGTTTGAAGCCTTGTCGACTTATATAATTGCAGCTTAGTCGGCTTATATAATTGCAGATTGGTCGGCTTATATGATTGGTTATTGTAGGATGAACAATTGCACTGGCGCACGTAGTAACCATATTGGAAACTGTAATAGTGAGATGATTGAGATATTTTGTAATTATTTTTTTAGGTTAATCATTGGACATTAGAGAAAGAAATGGTTGAGCAGCAAAATTATTTAGATTTGATTGATGTTTTTCTCTCTAAAATAGTAAGACAAATAGTATTTAACTAATTATTTGAAATATTGTTGGTTTTGATAGTTTATAATATAAAATTTTCTATAATATATCTGGCTGTTTTAATGTTAGTTTCTCAAGTTAGTAATGGCTCGCATAATACACCATTGAATTTTACATTTACGTTGATTTCTTGGGGGGAGAGCTAATTTACGGATTTCGCCTCAGGCCCCAACAATCACAGGACCGGCTCTGTCTGGACCAAGTCGATTTTAATAACTATGCTTATAACAAGTTATTAACTTGCACACGAGCCGACAAGTTGCAAGAGAAAATAGCAAAATGTAATTACATTTTATAAGATTTTATAAAAAAGACTAATTTGTTATTATATTTCTAATATACTAATTGGTTATTAACTCTAAAGGTTTAACATATTGATGGTATTAAATATTAGGTTATCTTCAACCATGCACCAAAATTTTAGGTAAATTTTGTATCAAATCTTATACTAAATTGAAAATTATCTCCAACTAAATAAACAAAAAAAATTATATCAAATAAATAGTGTTTAATTATTTTCTTCTTTTTTTTTTGTTCTTAAAAATTTACTATCTGAAAAAATTAGTTATTTGTTTATTTAATTACTAAATAAATAATTATGTTTAATTTATTGAATTAATTAATAAATTTAAAATTATAGTCAACTAATAGAAATACCACAACTAAAAAAATTATATTAAATCAATTTATTAAAAAACAATGTAATATTATGAAATCGAACTATATTGTAATTTAATATTCCAAATTCGTAGAATCATCTCATGAATGATCAATTAATGCATTTTGAAATGCAATGTAAGCATCTTGAGTATCTTTATTTTAATTCATTCCTCAAGTATTATTGATTACATGATTAAAATTTATTACAAATAGTAGTGGTAATAATAATAATAATAATAATAATAATAATAATAATAATAATAATAATAATAACAACAACAACAACAACAACAACAACAACATTAAACTAAAAATTATTGTATACAAAAATAGACACAGATACATTAACAAAAATTCAGTGCAAATCGGAAAAGAAGGACAGAAACGATTTTATTCATTTTGGTGCAAAATGGTGCAAAGGGATTGGGTTGGAGATGCTTTTGGAGACGTTGCCTAAAATGTTATTTCAAGTCCTCAACACAATGTCAAAGAATACTTTGACAGTGTGAATAGTTATTGAAACCAAATAAGCTTGGGAATTAGAGAACCGGATGGTGGTGTGGTCCGGGTACATTAATTGTTCGAGTTGAAAAAGAAATCGATTAAAAACAGGTTAGACCATTAAATAACCGTCCGATTTGAACAGGGTTTAGAGAAAATTGAATTTGATTCAACTGTGAACTGGTTTTACCATAAGTACAGTGCAAATTTTTGTCTTAAATTTGCAATGACAAAGATTTTGGGTGCAATTTGGTGCAAAGGAATTGGGTTGGAGATGCCCTTAGAGACATTGCGTAAAATGTGATTTCAAGCTTGACACAATGTCAAAATATTCTTTGATAGTTTGCAATTTGAACGGGTTTTAGAGAAAATTGAAACCGATTCAAATGTGAACTGATTTTATCACAAGCACGGTGCAAATTTTTATCTTAAATTTGCAATAACAAAGATTCTTGGTGCAAAGGGTTTGGATTGGAGATGTCCTTGGAGACATTGCCTAAAACGTGATTTCAAGTGCTCAACACAATGTCAAAGTATTATTTTATAGTACACATAATTATTGTAATCAGGCATTAATTGTTCAAGTTAACAAAGGAATAGGTCAAGAATCGATTAGATCACTCAATAATCATTCGGTTCGAATAGAATATAGAAAAGATGGGAACGTATTCAAATGTGAATCAGTTTTACGAAGTACAAAGCAAAACTTTATCTTAAGTTTGCAAATTGCAATGACAAGAATTCAAACTTGGACTTCAGCAAGTAATATCACTTCCCTAACCATTACGCGACATGCACAATCAATGTAGTGAAATATAAGGGAAATATATATATTTAGATTTTGCAAAATAATTGTAATTTTTTTGAAAATATGTTTAACTAAAATTATGATTTAGCAATGACCCATTAGTTGAACCACTGACATACCAGTTGAACCATTGAATTGCTGTTTTTTCGAGTCAGCAATCGGGTCAAGTCTGATAACTATAATATATAAAGAAAAACTATGATCATCATAACTTTTTGCTTTGTAGAAAAGTCTAGTCATAAAATTTTCACTCATCTAAACCTCTCAAATATCATAGGAAAAAGAATGATGCTATTTATGATTATGATGATAAATCATCAGTGATGTAGCAGTCTATGTGAAAATAATGAGATTGGACAGTTTAATTTTATGAGAGATGGAGGGAGGAAATGTGGTCTCAAGAAAGAGAGAAAGGTAAGGGATAATGGATTGCCACATCACCGATAATTTATCATCATGATAATAAATAGAATTACTCTAGAAAAAAAATAACTTAAACTTTATTACACTTACAATTTATATTCTTTGAACAATCCTCTGAGAAATCAAGAAAAAATAAGGGTGCATTTAGCCTTATTTGAGCCCCATTTTCGAGAAAAATGTATTTTGAAATAGTACTTTTTAAAGAATGAGTGGTTAAAAAAAAAGTTTTCAATTTTTATTTTGAATTATTTTATTGAATAATGTGTTATTGAAAATGGGTTTTAAAAAAATGAGTTTTTGATCAAAATGGGTGTCAAACAAGGGCCTAATTAGCTATTTTCAACCGGTTTTCA